CCAGGGAGAGGAAAGCCCAGAGAGCATATCAGGCCCATTTAATCGGACACCCCGCTGAAAGGGTTTTAATCTCTTGATCCGTGAAGCTCAGGAAAGCGAGAAGCTGCCACCGTGGTCAGGGGAAACTCTGGGATGTGTCTGTTGTCTCCTCAACAAGCAGACAAAGTTAAAAACCTCATGTGAGATGGTTAAAGGAGAAGTGTAGCTGCAGGAAGTTTAAAGCTGCTTGAATTCGGAGAGGAAAAGAAAACCTTTTGTTGTGTTTCACTAAATGATTTAAACCTATTAAACTAGCAATTTAAATGTGCCTGTTTTCATATAAGGTGGGAGTCGTTGCTTTGCACACCATGCAGGGTTTGCATTTCTGAGCTTGGCCACCCACAGCATCGGACATCGAGTGCAGTAGCACAGATTCACCCCCAGCATATAAAGGCAGTAAAGAGATTGAGAGCCAGCCAGCGCTTCTACCCAGGGCTTCCACCCAGCAATCTAGGTCATTAGGTCTACAGTGTAATTTAAGGAGCGCCACATCTGCTCACATGTAGGCAGAACTGAGTGTTGTGGCTCAGGCATTAGAGCGATGCTTAATCCTCCTGTGACAGCTGATTGTACGTATTTTCGGCTGGCGGTTCCGCAGAGCTCGCTTCATTTGTTTGCGAGAGAACACTGAACTTGGAGCACAGGAGCACAGAGAGGTCCGTATCAGGTAGGAGAATGATCGTTATGTGGTGCTGCGGGTCGATGTCGAGCGTACTGGAGACAGATTTAAACAATAGCGTGTTATTTCAGACTCAGACGCAGATCGATTGGGGTTAATAATGCACAGTGCCTGTATTTTACGCGTCGTCGTGCCACTGATTGGAAAAGCTTAATGAGTGCGTGTCGTTATCATTGTGCCGGCATCCATCTTGGCCCAATATCTTGCATGCCATCGGGCCGAAGAGGTCAATGGAGCGCATGCCTATGGACTGAATGGACCCTGGCTTATTGACCAACAGACTGATGACCTAAATGAGCGGAGAGAAAGGATTAAGTGTTTATTATCCTCTCCCCTTTATCCCTTGTTCCTGCCCTCCCTTTATCTCTCCCTCTCTCCGGGGGGAGGGGCTTGTATGTGGGGGGTTTTGTTTGGAGGAGGTGGGACCTTTTCTGGCTGGTTGTGGAAACCAGTGGGGATATTATTATTGACATGTAGACCACTCCAGCGCCTGGCTGGAAGGCCGTATCGATAAACTCCACATGACTGGTCCTGTACCCTCAATAATGAGAATATTCAATTCACCTCCTCCCTGGTGCAGCCCCACTCATTCAGTGTGCAACCACAACGTTAAGAATATGTAAACAATTAAGGATTTACTTGATGCTGAAGTTTAGTTTGATTCCTGTGTAGCGTTGATGCTTTTAGCTACAGTATTTCTTTTTTTTAGTTGACTTTATCTGACAATAGCTTTTGTAAATGCAACGTATAATTATGCACAAGAACCAGATGCATTGTATTTAGTGTTTCTAGTGTAATGCTAATTAACAACAGAGGCTTTAAATGTATATTCTTAAAGGAGAAGGATGTAAAATTCTACATTTTTGTTATCATTATTATTATTATTATTATTATTCCTTCCTTTCCTAGTTTCTGTGGCACTCGACCTCGAGGTGTAAATCTTTGAAAATGGGTCGAGAATATATACTTATAATCACTTCCTCATAATGATGGGGTTTGTTAACAAATGTTACTCAAAGTAAATAACTTTTAATACACATTTACAATACTGGTTCATCAGGTCAGATCATTGTTGGTTTTGCTTTTTCTTTTTTTGTGAGATTTGTCGACCAAAAGAAAATCTAGACTATCACCACAATTATTCATTTTATTATGATTTTGATTCTATCGTTGTTGTTGGCTGCCAACTGTGCTTTTGTGTGTGTGTGATCCGTCATTGCAGAACAAATTTCCTTCAGCGTAACAGTGAAGTTGAACATACATGAAGCCGTTACACACTGGACCGTCGTCAGCTTCGGTCGCATCAAAAGAAAACGTGATGAGGCTTTATCACTGCCGTTACAAACAAAGACGTTCATCACACTAACACAATATTGTCCAGCCAGTAATAATAACATGGAAGTCAGCTGGAGGCGGTCAGAGTGAAGTCGACCAGACGAGGGGATGGGAAAAAAAAAAAGTAGCCTGTGGGGGGGTGGGAGTGGTGGTGACTGGCTGGCCCCTCTGGTCGACCATTTTGGTTAGTGCAGCCAGCCAGATAATTAAACGTGATGGCAATCTTTGACACAGTGTAATCACATCACACCTCAGTGCCACAGGAGCTGCACTGTCTGGCTCTCTGTCTCTAGTCGCCGGCACAATAAAAACGCATCTCGTTCTCTAATTTTTCCTCCTCACAATCAGCTCAGAAATGTCTTCAAGTAACTTGCAACACCTGCTAAATCAATTCAGCCTCAGCTCCGTCAAGGCCTTCAGTTTTACTGTGGAATCGTGATGAGTGAGAAGTCTTTCAGTCTAAACCACTTTCCAGTTTTCCACATTCACAACTCTGGCAGCGAAACACGTTCCCTCGCATCTCCAAAACTCTTTAATTAAGCCATAATGCAGAGGAGTTCCTCAGAGGCCGCGGCGATGGACGTTTTCCTAGAGTACGTTGGAGAGCAGATGATGGCTCCAATCCATTTACTTGCAAATGTGAACCTCCCACGATGTATTTCTATCCAATCTATTCCATTTGTCGTCCAAGTTAGACTCCGCACCGTCTCCGCTGTTGAGACCGATTTCCAAAACTATCCGAGGCTGTGCAGTTTTTTTTTTTTTACATCCCGACACAGACACCCAGTCTGCTGCACTTCAGAGAGCGTTTTAACGTTTACGGGGCAGATGAGACGAGCTAAAAGCCCGAGCAGTGACTGTTATAACAATCTGCCCGTTGTCACAGCCTCACCAGGATTTACTGGAGAAAAGTTTTTCTTCCTCTGAAAAGGCTCAGTCAAAAGTTTTTACCATCCGGAGGAAGATTTAAATCACCGCACATAAATTAAATTCCAAATCTTGTTTATCATCTACATCTGAAATTATACAGCATGTTAAAAAAAAAACAAAAAAAAAACTGTAAACTCCCTCTCAAGATGTTTAGATTTGGCTCTGATATGAACAGTGTGATGGATGAAACAACCTAGTTAAATCAGCCACATTTGACTTTTAGGTGTAAAAATGTAATATTGATGATCTGCCACAGCCAGAAGTGGAGCTGAAAGTGGTTCAGAGCGGTCTCCCTGCTGAGGATCAAATATATATTAGTAAATAAAACATTTAAGCTATAAAATATTCACATCTATAGACCCCATGAACCAGTTCATGCAGTTTGATTAAATTCAGAATTCACCCCTCTGGCATTCTAGTCAGATATGATGAATTTCGCTTGAAAACACTATATATTGTACACATTTGGAATTATGTATAAATTATCATTTGAAATAAAAACATTGACTTTGATATTTGCTTGACATTTACAGATGGTAAATTATCCAAATGTAAATATGTGTGAAGTAAAGAAGTTTGAAAGAGTGAGATTTACTGTCATTATAGGTATTATTCTTTATCCTATCACGTTTTTAAACTACAGATATCTTTGTTTAAAACCAAAATGTTGGTTATTTTAATGATTATTTCAATCATTAATAAATCATTAATTGAATGATAGTTGTGTATTCAAAATATTCATAATATATATAATCAATTGATAATAATACACAACAGAGAAAAGGTTTTTAAAAACTTACATTTTTAGCAGATTGAAAAACATTTGACCCAACAAATGTTTATTATTTTTCCATTAAAAAGTGACTCAAACTAATAGATTATGAAATTAGTTGGCAACTATTTTGCTGTTGTTTGACTAATCGTGTATAAATAGATAAAGAACAGCATGTTCTTCAGAAACCTGTGCAGAAATACAAACTACATACACGTTATAGTTTCATTCAGCTCCCTCCTAAAATCTTTAGTAGGGCGTTTCTGATGTATTTTACATTACAGGGTCATCTCCATAGAGAAGTGGGTTGGCTCATTTGAAATATGGCTAATTACAGTGAAACTTTATACAGTGCGAGTTACTCAGAGGGGTTTCCCCCATTACCGCCTGGCGTTCATTTAGATTATCCGAGTTGCACGCTTTAATGAGGGTATTTCCTTGATGTATGCAGCTCTCGTTTGTTTGTTTGCTCGGTTCATGAAAGCTCCAGTGCGTTTAACGGCTGAGAGCAGAAACCTACTAGTGTGTAAGAGAAAGAAAATAAATGTGTCGCTAAAGTTCATGCGTTTCTGTCAATTAAATTTTTACTTTTTAATTTATTTTTTGATCGTTTAACTTCCCGTTTTGACACTTGCAAGATAATGCCCTGATATGTGGTTTTAACTGTTTTTCAGTCCCATATTGTTGATGAATGTTTTTGACAGATTCCACAAAGTCGGATGATTTAATTAAGGACTTCTGTTTTCTGCCTTTTCCTTTGCTTTGATACTGAATTAGGTGTAAAGTTGAGCTCGTGCAGCGGGGCTAATTAAGGGTTTTTTTTTTCATTCTGTTAACGTTGGGTAATCACACCAGTTGGAATAAAGACAAAGATAAATCCCTTTTGTTCAACCATTTAGTTAATTCTTTTTAGGCTGCTTTCCAATTAAGACTCGAGGAGCCATATTTTTATGGTTGGTGTATAGATCAAGTGCCAAACAGCTGTTGACTGACTGCTCAATTACTTAATTAAAGGACACTATTGCTGTGTGTCGACTTTAAAATATAACATAGGGAAGAAATGCAGTAATATCCGAGCAGAGATGTCTCTAAGTGTGTTTCCAAACGCCTGGCAGTCAGCATGAGTGTTAGTGTGAGTGACCAGTGGTGGCTGCCGAGCTGGCTGATACTGACCATCAGTGTGTATGTTGTGTGTGTGTGTGTGTGTGTGTTGTGTGTGTTGTGTGTGTGTGTGTGTATGTGCAGCTCCCCGCAGACTTCAGCAGACTTCACCTGGCCGACGGCTTGCACCCACAGGTGACCCACGTCTCCTCCAGCCACTCAGGATGTAGTATCACCAGCGACTCTGGAAGCAGCAGCCTGTCAGACATTTACCAGGTAAGGCCTCCCCACCCTGGTGCTGGATCCCCAGCCTGGACTCCCCTGGATAGCTGAGTAGGTGCAGAAGTCAGTAGATGAAGTCATGTGAGATTAAACACCTCCAGGTGTCCAATTTTATCTATTTATACCTTTAAACATAAAAAATAGGCTTATTTACTTTCTCGCTATAAGTTAAAAGAGAGGATTCATACCACTAACATCTGGAGGGCAAATATGAAGCTAGCACTAGCAGCTAGTTAGCTTAGCGGAAAGACTGGAACCACAACACATTGTTTTTACACAAATAAAACAAATGAGATATAATATGTTTATTAGAGAGCTTTATAAGAACACATTTTGTTACCTTCAGACAGAGTCAGGCTAGCTGTTTCCCCTTGTTTCCAGTCTGCATGCTAAGCTAAGCTAACAGCCAGTTAGCTGGCTGTAGCTGGCTTGGAAGTGGTATCAGTCTTCTAAATGTAAATCTCTAAACAGAGAATCTACAGACGTTTAAGTTGATGTTTGGCTTGTTGCAGTACAACACTAATCCTGGACAGGGTTGTAACCAAATGGGGAACACATAGTGAGAGAAACAAACTTAACTTTTGGCTAATTGAATTTAGCATGACGTGTATAACCTGTATATAGTGTAAAAGGAACTGTTACCCGATGTTTCTGACCCGATCTGTGCCGATAAATGAAGTAAGAGGGTTGAACCAAAGCTCATGTTATTCCTACGTGGTAAAACTCTCCTTGGTGAAATGACAAACGAACCTCTGGGAGCACGAGTTATTCTCATTAAGAAGGATAACACATTTCAGGAAAGAATGTAAACGCTTGGCAGCCAGATAGGCCATAAAACACTATAAAACACTAATAGGACACTGTCACCGCTCGGCGGATGATTAGCAGACGGGCTGGTGGCTGCGAGCAGGTGGTCCAGCCGACATCCTGACTCCAGCTGTGTCTCTCCTCACCGCAAAGCAGAGGTACAGAACTCGCAGGGAGCTGTGACGTACGAATATCGTGTGATAAGAAGCTTTTATGAGCAATTTCCTGACAAGCAATTTCATGGTTTTTGAAAAAGAGAAGAGGAAGAAAAAAAAGAAAAAGAAAAAGACAGAAAGAAGTCCAGTAACCGTACCCCCCTTCCTCCCCCCAGTGGTAAATATAACATCATTCAGCTCAACAGAAAACACACACACACACACACACACACACACACACAAATTCTCGTGACTATGGACGTGCCCCAAACGCTGCAACTAATCCTCTTAACACGGCGCACTCACCCCATTGGCTCCCACTACTGTCACCTGCTGTGCGCCTATTTCTGTGTGTGTGTGTGTGTGTGTGTGTGTGTGTGTTTGTTTGTAAGTGTGCTTGTGACTGTGCTCAGGGGCATCAGTCACAATCACTTTGTTTTGTTCAGACCTCTGTCTGGCTCGTGTTCGTGTTGTGCGCAGGGGCATTAAAAATGTCTGAATACAGCTTTATAATTGCGCGTGAGGTCGGTGTGAATGAGTGTTACTGTAGAGTTGTGTGTGTGTGTGTGTGTGTGTGTGTGTGTGTGTGTTGGCCATGCTGTCGCTGGCTGGGGCAGGTTGAACAGGCTCTACTGTCCCCAGTCTGTGATCCTGGTCTTAGAGCCATCTGCTAGCAGCTTTCTGGCAGTCTCCTGATATCTCTCTCTCTCTCTCTCTCTCTCTCTCTTCACCTTCTTTCTTCTCTGGATCCTTACACGTTCAGCTTTTCACTTATAGCAACAAAAAAAAAAAAAACTGCTCTCCGCTTGTTAACCGGATCTATTTGTAACTTTGTTCTGTCTCAGTGTTTTAATCCTCCTCTCTTGTCGCAGGTGATCAAACGTCTCTGCTCAGCTCAGTGGCGAGTCACTTAATGTGTGCGCTTGTGCTCCCTCTACCTCTTTATCAATCAGCTATTTCATTCATCAAGTTAATCATTTGAGTCCTTTGAGCAAATGTTTGGTATGAGACATACGTTTGGTATGAGACATACCAAACATTTGCTGGTTTGAGGTCCTTTTTTAATTTGAGGATTTGCTGCTTTTCTTTGTCTTTAACGAGAATAAACTGAACATGTTTGTGGTTTGGACTTTTATTATGGACAGAAATTTGAGTATGTCACATTCAGCTCTGGAAAAATTGTATTTTATGGCTTTTTATTAAGAAGTTAAATTGATTAGTCAAGAATCGCAGTCAAAGTGTCGAGAGAAAGATCCATCAGAGCAGTTGTTTCCCAAACCTTTCAGCTTGTATCTGCTGAAACACAGTGTCTACTTGTGACCTCATGTCACTGCTTGAATATTTTATGTTGCAGAAGTTTTCTATCATTAGCTGGAGGTGTCAGAATCAATAACAGAGGCTAAATAAACACATCATGGCCTGGTCCTCAACACCTGAGGCCACAGGAAGTTGACGCTACAAAGGAACATGGTGGTATTAGATTTAAATCGTAGTCTGCTTTACATTTTTCAACATTTAGCAGTGAGATAATGGTGCAGGTTGTTGACGGAAAGCTCTGAATGCAGCTCTGATCTCCACGTCTCCGCGACTGAAGCACCATACGAAGAGCACCGCATCATTTTCACGTCACTGCCAACATGGCGCACTGTTTTGTGTGTGAATAAATCATGAAATTGGTCCTTCAGAAGGACTCTGAAAGCATTGATCCAAGAATAGCCCTGATGAAATATTAACAGCACCTGACTTGCCCACTGACTCTTAATGCTTACTGCACATTTATGGATTTTTGACGCATACGTGACACGAAAACGAGCCCGTGCACGAATACAAAGGCAAACAATTCTAGGGTTTCTAACAAGTTGTGTCCACGTGGCGTCTTTTTTTTTTTTTAGTAATTTTGGCATTTGTAAAGGAACACGCATCCTCACTTCTCTTCTGCTGCTTTATGTTTGTCTGCAGTTAAAAGGTGAAGCTGTTTAGTGTGTCCTCTGAATGTGCAGCGTTCTGTGGTTTGAAAACAGAGAACTCAGGGAGTGTTTCAGATTCGTACATGAAATCCTGGAACGACATTTTGATCCTACATATCTTTTTAGTTCCTTTATTCTTGTCTCTTTGTTTTAATTTCAAATGCACAATACTGCTTGTATTGTTTACTGCTCCTCACTGAATCTGTGACTTTCCACAGTCCAAAGGCCACACACATACACCCACATCATCCTTGCAGACCCTGCCTGGCCCCACCCGCCGGTGATGCCCAAATGGCCACTCAGACACTGGCCTGAATCATTAATGAGCCTTTTGCACATGGCGTTTGAGGAGAAATGACATAGGGTTTCGTTGAGAGACCGGGTACGGGGACTCTGAGCTTTGAAAAATTAAAAGCAGACTGTCAGTCTGGGAGGTGAAGATGCGTCTGGCTCTGGGATTTTGTGGACATTTTGCAAAGGCAACCTTTTCTTCTCTTTCTATTAAGAAGCTTGAGGTTGAGCTCCACACTGAGGTAAGAGTGGTTAGTTATCAGAGCTTTTCCTCCTTTTTCCTGACTGCTTTGGTTTATTCCGTGAGAGGGTTTCATGTTGTGAACTGAACCAGCTTGTGGCCCCTCTGTCATCTATAGAAATATGTTCTTTGATTATAGCAGAGGAACTCCGTTAGTATCGCTCATGCACAAGTAATTGCATTACTTTCGCTCCTCGTCTTCCTTCATTTTCCTGGTTCCACACATTTTGCATCTTGTGCTTTCAAAGAACAGGATCTGGCTGCAAGGCAGGCGGTGGAGTTTGCTGAGAGGGAGAGGAGAGGAAGGTTGGGAGTTAATTAGCTCGGTGCTATGCATAGCAGGCTGTTTGGTATGCAGCGTTGATGCCTGTCTTTCTCATACTGTACTGAAAACCTCTAATCCGTTTCATGAAGTGGGTCAAACCTGCACAAAGGGTCTTTTTTTTGGGGGGGGGGGGGGGGGGTTGCTTTTTTTTGGAAAA